GACAGACCGGTAGATGGACAGACAGACCGGTAGATGGACAGACAGACTGGTAGATGAACAAACAGATTGGTAGATGGACAGACAGACCGGTAGATGGACGAACAGACTGGTAGATGGACAGACAGATTGGTAGATGAACAGACAGACTGGTAGATGAACAGACAGACCGGTAGATGGACAGACAGACCGGTAGATGGACAAACAGACCGGTAGATGGACAGACAGACTGGTAGATGAACAGACAGACTGGTAGATGGACAGACAGACCGGTAGATGGACGAACAGACTGGTAGATGGACAGACAGATTGGTAGATGGATGAACAGACTGGTAGATGGACAGACAGACTGGTAGATGGACAGACAGACTGGTAGATGGACAGACAGACTGGTAGATGGACAGACAGACAGACAGACAGATGGAAACTTACTCCATTTCTTTCTTTTCTGCCTCCTCTTGTGTCAGGTCTTCTTCCACACTGTAGTCTAAAACTGCTCCCACGCCGAAAGCCTGGTTCTTGTGGATTAAAGGTTTGATGGAGTTGTGGTCTTCACCTGCCACGAACTGGCCATAGAAGGTCATCTTCATCATCTTCTCAAACATGCGCTGACCCAGCAGCTTCCTGCTCAGCTCCATCAGCTGAAAGACGGAGCACGTCAAGATTATTAGAACAACTCTTCCGTCATCATTCAGAGATCTGTGAGTGGACTCACTTCTTTGTTCTTCTCCACCAGGACGTCCACAGCACACAGGTTGAAGACGAGCAGACTACGCAGCAGCTCAATGTTCCTCTTGCTCTTGTAGGCTTCCTCCGTGTTGTCGAAGTCGATGTGGATTTTATGCAGGTGGATATCTTTGGCGTTTTTGGTCTGACTGATGAGTTCAACGGGCTCAGCTTGGACCACGGTGCACCCCTCCAACTGCTTCTTCTCTTCCTGGCTCTTGGGAGATGCGACCGTTGAGCGACATCTTGCAGGTGAAACACGAATTTTATTCACCTTTCCAGAGTTGGCCCGCACAAGAGATGCTACGAACTTTGTGTAGGACATCGTTTCGTCCCTTTCTGAACGAGACAGGAGCTTAGACACCGAGATAACAGCAGCCTCCTTGATTCTTACCGTCGCTGCCAAACTGAGTAATGAGCGCGCGCTTCTTCACTGCTGGATGTAACGAGTGGGCGTGTCGCGAGGTAAGGGGCGGAGCCTCACATGTTCCTGCACGAGGGGCTGATGGCATTGCTGCAACGTGTTGGCTGACTTGGAAAATAAATAAATAAAATTAGGAAACATCTAATTGATATGCTATCTCATATTAATAAGATCATAAACATCTTATAATACAAGATGCTAAGTCTTTTCAAGATAGTATCTTAAATATGAAATGCTAATTCATAATATTTATTAGATATTAAGTCTATTTATATGATTCTAAGTTACTATGGAGATGTTATCTCATAATTATAATATGCTAAGTCAATTCTAAAGTGTTTCATCACATATGTATGAGAAGCTAAGTAAATGTTTTTATATTGAGAATTGTGAAATATTAAATGGATTTTATTGCATTTTATAATCATAAAATGTTATTGTATTGTATTGTTATTGTATTAAATGCTATCATTCATAAGACATAATTTTGAGATTGTATTTTCAATTTATGATATGGTCAAATCATACTTTTGACACATTTCACAATTATGTTATTCTATGTCATGATTTTCTCAAAAATGTGACTTAGATCTGTTTTTATTTAATAAAGTGGTTGAATTTAGCTTCCCCTGATGCTATTGCAAATTGCTTAAGTATAATATTACAATAACATAACAGTTTATCTTTTGTTAACATAAAACTTTATATTTGTGCCAAGTTTTTTTAAGCTCTTTGGAAACAGCTTGCTAATACTAAATTATTATAGTCTGTGTTTTCTTTGGTGTTTTAATAGATTATTTTAAATGAAGGGGTCATGTCATAGTGACAGTCAGCTAATAACAAAGAGAGTAAGATTTTTGTTTTCTCCCAAGTTGTCTGTACATAATAGTTTATTCCTAAAGTTGAGGGAGCTGCTGTGCCTATAAATGAAAGTCAAAGTTTCATGATTTACCAAAAAATAATTAAATAAACCAACAAAAAATGAATTAAACCATTCTTGAAAAAGTGTTCAATGAAACATAGACTGAAAAGGTATTGCTTAACATTAAAAATGGCATGAAATCTTCCAAAAAAGTTCAATCTGGTCCTCTGGACATTCAAAAAAACAAAAAACAAAACAAAGCAAAAAAAATCTAGAAACGTTTCGTCTCTCATCCAAGAGACTTCTTCAGTCTGAGGTGCTGTTTTCAGCTCAGTCTCTTAAATAGCACCTTCTCAGAGTGGATCAACCAGTTTGCTGCTGACAACCAAAACCAGCTGATCACATGCTCAAGAAGGACCATCAGCCTAACAATGGATCATTAGCACACTGATGGCTGTTTACTACTCACAGAGGGCTGAGTGATACTAGCAATCACAGCATTGTAAGAGGGGGACAGTTTAACCCGGAGGCCTCCACCCCTGTTTAATGATGGACGATTTCTTTTCACAAAGATGGCCTCCTTTACTCCTCTCTCAAACCATCGTTCCTCTCTGTCCAGGATATGAACATCTTCATCCTTGAAAGAGTGACCGCTGGCCTGGAGATGAGTGTAGACCGCAGAATCCTGGCCTGATGATGTTGATCTTCTGTGCTGGTCCATCCTTTTGGCCAGTGGCTGTTTAGTTTCCCCGATGTAAGACTGATCACCCTCCTGATACTGAACAGCATACACAACATTGCTCTGTTTGTGCCGGGGGACTGGATCTTTGGGATGAACCAGTCTTTGCCGTAATGTATTTTGGGGTTTAAAAGCCACTGGGACGTTATGTTTAGAAAATAAACGTCTCAGTTTCTCTGATACCCCCTCAACATACGGAATGACCACTGGTCTGGGTCTGGGTTCCTCCTTTTCACCTGATGGCTGACTGGAGTCCTGTTTGGGTTTCTTCTCTGCTTTCAGGAAGGTCCAGTTAGGATATCCACATTGCTCTAGAGCCTGTTTTGTGTAGGATTTCTCCTTCTGCCTGGCTCCCGAGCTAGTGGGGATGCTGTCTGCTCTGTGATACAGAGTCCTGATGACTCCTAACTTGTGCTCCAAAGGGTGATGGGAGTCAAACTGCAAATACTGATCTGTGTGGGTGGGTTTGCGGTACACCTCGGTTTGCAAATGTCCTCTATCCGAGACTGAGACCTCACAGTCCAAGAAAGCCAACTTGCCATTTTTTACATCTTCTCGTGTGAACTTGATGTATTTATCCACAGAGTTGATGTGGTCAGTAAAATGTTGGACTTCCTGAGTTTTAATTTTAACCCAGGTGTCGTCAACATACCTGAACCAATGACTTGGTGGTGTCCCTGAAAAGGACGTCAAGGCTCTCTTTTCTACCTCCTCCATGTACAGGTTGGCAACAATAGGAGAAACTGGAGACCCCATAGCACACCCATGTTTCTGCCTATAATATTGCTCCCCATATGTGAAGTAGGTTGACTGCAGGCACAGTTTCAAGAGTTGACACAGTTGTTCTGTGGAAAGTGTGGTCCTGCTGCTCAGAGTGGTGTCTGATTTTAATTTTAAACTGACCACCTCTACTGCATCATCAACAGGAATGCACGTAAAGAGTGATGTGACATCAAAAGAGACCATTGTTTCATCAGTCTCCATGATGACATCCCTCACCTTATCCACAAAGTCCATGGTGTTCTGTATGTGGTGTTCTGAGCTGCCAACTAAAGGGATGAGTACAGACGCCAGATATTTGGAAACATTGTAGGTGACAGAGTTAATCATGCTAACAATAGGTCTTAAAGGTACACCTTGTTTGTGGATTTTAGGTAAACCATACAGACTAGGTGTGGCCTCCCCTGGGTACAGTCTGTGGTACAGAAAGCGGTCAATAGCCTTGTCCTGCTCCAAATTTTTCAGGCAATCTATTAACTTCTTCTTGTAACCACTTCCTGGATCTCTTTTCAGAGGTTCATAAGTGGTTAAGTCACTAAGGAGTGTCATAACTTTCTCATGATAGTCTTTCTGGTTCAAAATCACTGTGCACCTTCCTTTGTCTGCTGGGAGAATGATGATGTTTTTGTCCTTGCTAAGAGTGGTGAGTGCATCCCTCTCCTCTCTACTGATGTTGGAAGGTGGTGGTTTGGCATTGCTGAGGCAGGATGAAACTTTGATTCTGAGCTGTTCTGCTTCACCCTCTTTCATTTTGTTGTTGCGGATGGCTGATTCTGAAATCTGAAAAGAAATCGTCCATCATTAAACAGGGGTGGAGGCCTCCGGGTTCAACTGTCCCCCTCTTACAATGCTGTGATTGCTAGTATCACTCAGCCCTCTGTGAGTAGTAAACAGCCATCAGTGTACTAATGACCCATTGTTAGGCTGATGGTCCTTCTTGAGCATGTGATCAGCTGGTTTTGGTTGTCAGCAGCAAACTGGTTGATCCACTCTAAGAAGGTGCTATTTAAGAGACTGAGCTGAAAACAGCACCTCAGACTGAGGAAGTCTCTTGGATGAGAGACGAAACGTTTCTAGATTTTTTTTGCTTTGTGTTGCTTTTGTTTTTTTGAATGTCCAGAGGACCAGATTGAACTTTTTTGGATTTTTCTACCTGGATTATTGAGCATGCATCAGGATGGCATGAAATCTTGTTATTTAAAAAAAAAACTATTTATACAGCAGCCTCTCAATGATGGTTAGACGTGAAAACATTTCTCTAAATTTACAGGAAATGTTTTTGTAGTAAGACATGAAACATGGCTTATAAATTGACAGAAAGGAACTAAATCTAAAACTGGTATAAAAACGGCGCTTTGGCAAAAAATGCACAACTAGCTCTTATCTTGGCTATTGTCTGTATGAAACAATCAGATAAATTTAATAAAAAACAGAAAGGTTTCGGCGTTGTAAAATATAAAGCTAATTTCAGATTTGTAGAAATAAATTATTGGAGGGGGAAAAAAACGTATTTTTGAGGCATGCTACTCTGAATCACACTCCAATCTGGACCGTGGCGCTAATGCGCCTGCAAAGATATTTGCCTACCGTAATTTAACAAAGAAGAAGAAAAACAACGGAAGTTGTGAAAGCTACAAGCTAATGCTAACGCACGAGTAGCCAAGCGATAATTTGCAAAGGCGATATCTTTAGTTAAGACGGCATTAGCCACTAAGAAAGGTAATTTTCCACATTTTAAACATAAATTATTATATTGCTTACATTTTATTGCGCACTGAACGTTACAGGCATTTTATTATAATAGAAATATAGTTAAATTTTTAGCCTCACAAGAAGCTAAAGCTCGATGACTAGCTGACCTTATTCAACAAAGAGACTGGTTTGTTGAAGGGATAACATCTTGTGTGGAAAAGCGTAACGTACATGTTTGAGCCACAAATGTCAAGTAAAATCTTTAGTTATACACTTTGAGTTACACAGCTGGTTACTAAATACGTACGTTAAAAATATTTTGAAGCATGCGACTCTTCGTTAGCTAACGACATTAGCCTGATTAGCCATAACGTTACTTTATTATGTCCTTGATTACTTTCAGCTTAAAAGCTTTATTACGAATGTACGAGCTAGTCATTTGTGGAGTTTCGATCTTATTTTAACTATTTGACTTCTCAACCAGCCAAACGGGTTTGGTTGGTTTGATTTTAGAAGGCCTCAGAATTCAATTCCAAGTTAGCCGCATAAGTAACTAATTAATATAAAGACTGTTTATGTTTCGGTACTTTGTCTTTACATTAATAAACTATCACCCATTGACAGTTTTTATGTTTTTCAACTCCAGGATACCAGTGAAAGATTTCACTGAATCGTCATACGAGAGTCAGGCTATGAGGAGGGCCTTTCAGGCAACGCTACTTTTTGAATTTAATAATTAAATTTCCATTATTTGTGAAATATTTTTACACATCCAAAAATACCAATCACTTTTTAAAATGTTGGTCACATATTCTTAAAATTCATATATTAACAACCCTTCAAATATTTCAAATTCATTGGTAGTCCCTAATGTATGTACTGTATACATATTTTCTTTCATAGTTATAAATCTTATGAGTCAATTCCACATTGATGTCTGACGTCAAAATACTCAGGTCGTAGTTTATCACAATGAAAACAGGTCTCGTAAATGAGTCCCTTGTGGCTCAGTGAGACTAACCCGTATAAATAAAGGTTGAATTTTTTTTTTTAATCAGACTAGACTTGGATTTATTTTATTGAAAAACTGTTATTTTTTTTTATTTTTTATGCCTGCCTGTTTTATGAGCAATTTCAAATGAAAAGTGTAAGTGTGACTTTGGTATCTTTTTTTTTCTACTTTGAATCTTTATAAACAACTAAACAATGTGTACTGGTACATATGTAATGTGTTCTTTTATGTCCTGTACATCACTGAAACACTTTGTTCACATATCATGTCTAGGCTTCTCGCGATAAACAAATCAATCGCATGATAAATGAAAATTATTGACGTCATTTTCATTTATCGGCTTTATTGTTTCTTTGTGTCTCTCTTTCTACTAAAGACACTGGATGACAAGGCTCAACTTTGGCGCTCTTCACTGACCCCTCCCTTTCTTATTAAAGTTTGTTTTAACCATCCCAAAATCATGTTTTTGGATCGTTAAAATCAGCTAAGCTACAAGCTAAGCTAACTGGTAGACCTTGAGGAAAAAAATTCCGTCTTGTCAAAGCTCCTAAATTCACTGTTGAAACCTGTGTCTTTGTGTGAAAAGTTGTTTTTCTCTGCAAAAATAAGCTGAGAACTTGTTTACTTATTTTTTTATTAAAAGCTTTGTGTGAAAAATGCTATGTTAAAGAGCTCAAACCACACAGAGTGTCTGCCATTTTGAGAACCGGAAAAAAAGGAGAGACAGCCCATGTGTCGAGGCCTCCCTCCCATTTTTCTTAAAGAGGCACACTGCTCACTATCCATTCTTTGACTCAGTCTTATACTGTCATCCGGTGGTCAAAAAAGTACTAAACTCAAAACAAACTAACCAACATTTCTTCATAAATTTGACAATAATTACTAATTATTATCTAATTTCAAACAATATTATCATTTATCGCAGTAATTGCTGAAACAATTAATTACCCAACAAAATGTCTTATCATGACAGGCCTAATCATGTCCCACTTACACATAAACAATAAAATCAAGTAGTGGAAAGTTTGTTTTGCAAATCCAAAAAAATACCTAAGAGTTCAGAATTTACTGTAATGTTACTTTGTATTAAATTTGTTCATATATTTTGTTTTAAAGCTTTCAGGCTTTGATCCAAGGTCCTGTGCCATTTATATATTTTTTTGAACTCATCATTTCTTCTCTCCTGGCTGCATCCCATGTTTAGATATTTGTTTTTAATCTAAATTAAGAAACTGGCTACGGAAGGACTACGTTTTGGGACCAGGAATAGAAAAAGGACCATTTCTGCTGCCATTTGTGAAAGAAAGAAGTGAGTGAGCTTACATTCTGCAGTTGCTCCTGTTCTGTGTCAGCAGTGCCACCCACTCAATCGACATGTCTGAAGGCCGCATCTATGTGGGGAATCTCCCTGTGGATGTTACGGAGAGAGACGTTGAGGATCTCTTCTTCAAATATGGAAAAATTCGTGAAATTGAAATGAAGAACAATAGAGGCATCATTCCTTTTGCCTTCGTCACTTTTGAAGACCCGCGGTGAGTTTTCGGGATGGTTTTTGGCAAGTCAAATCACATTCCTCTTTTTGGACATCTTAAAATTTGTGATAAAGTTTCATCTTCAGTGAACGCCGGCAAGGATTGGACGGAGACAGCAAATCCAACCTGTGCTCGCAAGGCGTCCTTTGGTAAGGGGTTCTTTGCTCTCTCCTCTTAGGGATGCAGATGATGCTGTTTATGGAAGGAATGGATATGAATATGGGAACACCAAGCTGCGTGTGGAGTATCCTCGAGCCAATACTGGAAAACCTGGTCCTATGGGAGGCAACGCTGGAGGAGGAGGAGGAGGAAGAGGAAGGTTTGGACCCCCAACTCGGAGATCTGAATTCCGAGTCATGGTGTCTGGTAGGTGGACGTCACGAGTTCTGGACAGTTAATATTAATCCAATTTTGGTGCAGTCTGAAGGTCAAGAAGACTGATAGAAACATAGGAGTCATAGACAGATATGTTCCCCTGTCTCTCATGGTGGACTGGAGGACAAAAAATAGTTGCTGGACATTCTAAATCATAGATATGTTTCCCATACCTCTTGGTGGACGTAAGGACAAGGAGTTCAATATATGGAAGTTCTGTCATAGCCAGAATTGTTTCCCCTCTCTCCTGACGGACTGGAGGACAAGGAACTAGTAGATGGACATTCTAAGTCGTATGCAGCTCTGTTTCTGTTTCCTTCTCTCCTGGTGGACTGGAGGACAAATAGCTCAATAGATGGAAGTTCTAAGTCATAGCCAGAATTGTTTTCCCTCTCTCCTGGCAGAATGGAGAACAAGGAACTAGTAGATGGACATTCTAAGTCATAGGCAGATATGCTTCTGTTTCCTTCTCTCCTGGCGG